CCAACCGGGACTCGTCCTGAACTCACACCTCTTGAACGCCCCTCCCCTGCCACCCTCCCTGAGCCCCTTGGTCACCGCACTCACCTCCCGACCGGTAAGGATATGCCGGGCCAGCTTGACTTTGGCGAAGTTGCCCTTCCCGATGGTCCTCAGCAGGCGGTAGTTACCCACATGGGGTTGTTCCTCGGGGCAGGAAGCGATAGAGTTCCGACAACGGGCACCCAGGGACCGGCTGGACCAAGATGGTCCTTTGTCTGAGGATCGCCCCCTCCCCCAGGTGCCATGCTGCGTGGAGAGAAGCATGTGAGCCACACCCCAGTCCCTTCCCAGTACAGTGGCACCCGAGGGCCAGGGTGGGTGGCTCTCTGGAGCTCTGGCCACTGTGCCCTCCTATCTCTTTGCAAACTCAGGCCATAGGTAAACAATGCTTTTGGGTCCTCCTCCCATCCCCCCACACACCCCCACCCCGAAGAGGCCTCCATCAGGGGCTGTGCTTGGATGGTGGAGGCAGGCATCAAGCTCCAAGTTCCAGCACTCTGGACGGTGGAGGTAAATGGATTGGGAGTGCAAGGGCACCGTCCACTACACTCTGAGTTCTAGGCTAGCCTGGGCTATGTAGCAAGCTACTCCTGTTTTGTTGAGAAAAGCTCCTCCTGGAGCCCAGGTTGGCTTTAAACTGATCGTGTAGCCCAGGGCCAGCCTTAATGTCCCGTCTTACTTCTCAGTGGCTGTGCTGATAACTGTGAACCACCGCAGTCTCAAGAAAAACCAAGTGCTGGAGAAGCATTTCAGTGGTGGGTGGAGTGCTTGGTTCCCTGGCACAAGGCTTAGGGTTCTATGCCCAGCAATGCACAAAAAACGGGGGCTTCTGAGACCCCCCCACACACATCCTCTCCTCTGCCAGCATCCTGATTACTTTCTTCCAAAGGCTGCTAACCTCAACCCCCAGTGAACATGGACCTCCATCCAGACGCAACACTCCCTTCTCGGCCAGCACAAATCCCAAACACCCTATTTCACCCATCAACACCCTTGGCTAGCCCCAAGTCTATTTTTCTTGGGGTGGGAGAATGGGGAGGTTGGGAGAGGATCTCAAGTAGCTCAGGCTACCCTCCAACTTGCTATTTAGGCAAGGATGACCTTGAATCCCCGATAACTCCAGCCTTGGCCCACCCAGGGATTAAGGGCCTATAGTCACCACACCCAGCCGTCCAGGCCCTCAATTCTATGTCCCTACCTCATTCCCAGCTGACTGCCAGACATCTATCTATCTATCTATCTATCTATCTATCTATGGTGTTTTCAAGACGGGTTTCTCAGGGGCTTTGGAGGCTGCCCCAAACCAGACATTTTTACAGTGGTCTCCTCACTACTCATCAGTTTTCCATGGTTTGAAAATGTTACATTGGAAACTCTTAGCAATGAGTTGGGCGTTGGTGGCGCACACCTTTAATCCCAGCACTCGGGAGGCAGAGGCAGGCAGAACTCTGTGAGTTCGAGGCCAGCCTGGTCTCCAGAGTGAGTTCCAGGACAGGCAGGTCTACACAGAGAAGCCCTGTCTTGGGGGGAGAAAGAAAGAAAGAAAGAAAGAAAGAAAGAAAGAAAGAAAGAAAGAAAGAGGGAGGGAGGGAGGGAGGCCCTCTAGCAACAGAGTCTTGCATTTTCCTTTGTCTTTTTATAAGTGTCCCTCCTGATCAGCCCACATGTCTACACAAAGAGAACTCGAGTTTGGAATGGTATAGACTGGGGAGCCTCTGGGAGAGTCTTAGATGGGGGGTGCTGTCTTGCCATCACTGTTACCCCAGATTCTCCTGCAAACAATACAAGTCTTCATTGTGTCCACTTTTCCACGAAACACTGTTTCATCCTGACCGCCCTCCGCCACCCCGCCTGAGGGTGGCATGTGCCCTGCCATCTCCCACGCCATCAACTCCTCTGTTCCTGCTGGCCTGTCCCTCCCCAGACTCCCCAACGAGGCGACCTGTTCAGGCCCAGCTGCCCTGTCCTGATTGGGAACCTCCAGGGACTGGGCCTTCCTTTCTTGGCTGGCTCTCCCTCCCTGTCCTCCTCACAGCTGAGGGAAAACAGGACACAGGACAGGGAGGAAGGGAGAAGGCCAGGCAGACTGAGAGTTGAGGCCTGGGCTGCCTGGGGCAGGGAAGCTCTGCCAGGCCACCCCACAGTAACAACCAGCATGGAAAGCCTATGTATCACCACCCCCATTTTACAGGCAGGGGAAACTGAGGCCTGGGGCTGGGATCTGAACTCAGCCATTTTGTCAAACTGACTTTTTTTTTTTTACAGGTGTTTCATTAGACTGACCCACCTTCTACACCTGTTCTTGTCTTTTGTTCAGTTCTTGTAACTTAGAGAAGTGCTCCTCCACTGAGCCACACCCCCAGCCCCTCACTGGGGGATTCTAGGCAGGGGCTCTACTACTAAACTTTCTTTCAGACCTTTTGCTTGTTCTGAGGCAGGATCTTGCTGAGTTGTCCAGGCTGGCCTTGAACTCCCTCCATTTTCCCAACAGATCTTGAATTTAAAACCTGATGGCATCTGCTTCCCAAGTAGCTGGGATGACTGGCAGGCCTGGTGGGCACTGTCCTCTGGCCTCTTGTGAGGAAGCTGGGTGAACCTGGCTGGCTCCTATCCAGACTGTGGGGGCGCAGGGGCCTCCCTCATGGGATCTGTTAGGAACTGAGTGTGGGTGAGGTACTTGTCTGCACAAGACTTGGTGGATGGTATCATCCATCTAGTAAAAAAAAACACGTGGGAAGCAGGCGTGGTGGAGTAAGCCAGTGAGCTACTTGGGAAACCGAGGCAGGAGGATTTCAAGTTTTCAAGACCTTATCTCAAAATTAAAATGAGAGTTGGAGGGTGGGATGGGGGGAATGGCTGACGTAGTCAAGAGCTTACTGAGGACTTGAGTTCAGATTCCAGTACCCACATAACAGCTGGGCATGGAGGAACACACCTGTAACCCAGCAGGAGGGAGTAGAGAGGGGGGCAAAACAAGGCACTTGCTGGCCAGCCGGTCTGGCTGAAACACAACCTCTAGGTTTAGTGAAGACAGAGTATTTCAAAAACTAAGGTTGGAGAGTAATAAAGGAAGATACCCATAGCTGACCTCTGTCTTCCACAGGTAAGCACACCTGCACACACACACACATACGAAAAGAAAGGGGTACTGGGGGCATAGTGCAATGGTGGAGCCCCTGCCTAGAATCCCCCAGTGAGGGGCTGGGGTGTGGCTCAGTGGTAGAGCCCCTGCTTAGAATCCCCCAGCGAGGGGCTGGGGGCGTGGCTCAGTGGTAGAGCCCCTGCTTAGAATCCCCCAGCGAGGGGCTGGGGGCGTGGCTCAGTGGTAGAGCCCCTGCTTAGAATCCCCCAGCGAGGGGCTGGGGGCGTGGCTCAGTGGTAGAGCCCCTGCTTAGAATCCCCCAGCGAGGGGCTGGGGGCGTGGCTCAGTGGTAGAGCCCCTGCTTAGAATCCCCCAGCGAGGGGCTGGGGGCGTGGCTCAGTGGTAGAGCCCCTGCTTAGAATCCCCCAGCGAGGGGCTGGGGGCGTGGCTCAGTGGTAGAGCCCCTGCCTAGAATCCCCCAGTGAGGGGCTGGGAGGTGATAGAGCTCCTGAGTAACATGCCCAAGGCCCCGGCTTTTTACCTCTCAACACTGTGTTAGAGCCCTCGCCCGTGGTACAGCACCCGCTACTTCCAGTAAAAAGAATAAGACTTCCCCAGGCTGCTTGGTTCCAAATTCCACCCCTGGTTCCCTCACCATCTCTCCCTGCTCAACGCCCCTTGCATCCCGGCTCCACTGTGAGTCCAAGTCACAATGATCACTCTCAAGCCTAGACTCAGGCTTCCCCAAGGGCACACGGTGTGTGGCGAGCAGGCCTGGGACTCTGGCTGAGCTGCAGGCTCCTGAGGGCCGGTCCTCCCAGATGCCAGCATCCGCTCATAGCTCCTGGCACCCAGGAGCGGCAGGCGGCTGTTGGAGGTGCAAGATAAGGGCTCTGGTCCCTGCTGAGCCAACAGCCTGGAGAAGAATCCCTGTTGGGTGTTGCCAGGGGGCTCCCTGGCACACAGGAAGGCACCCTACTGAAGCCTGAATGGCCGAGGGACCCCTGTGAAGGGGTAGCTGGGGCAAGGGATGACAAAACCCCCAGGGGTCAGAGGCAGGAGCCAAAACTAGCCAGCACCACCAGCTGGCCCGGGCCTAAAGGGCCAGTGCCCCAACACCAGGCCTGTTGCTAAGGGACATAGCGAAACTGGCCCCTGGTCTAGGAGCCCTAGAACTTGGGGTAGAAGAGTGTGCCCCTCTGTGGCTGTCACCAGTCACCAGGTAGCAGGGGAGGGGTCTGAAACCTCAGACTGCAGAGAGAGATGGGCGTCACTTCAGCTAAGACAAAGTCATCCTTTAGACTGGGTTGGGGGGGGGACAGAACCACCCATCCGAGTATCCCCACTTCGCGCCAACAATCTTAGGAACGCAGGAAAGCCCGCTAGGAGCCCAATCATCGTACAGATTTGGAAATCGAGGCTCAGAGAGGTGAGGTCACTGGCCTGGGGTCACACAGCAGTGTGATGTGAATCGGAGTCTATTTGAATAATTAAGGTAGCAATAGGCACAACACGTGACCCGAGGATGTCCCAGTCAGGGAGGTGGAGCCATCAACCCACTGACAAGGAAACTGAGGCTGAAGGAGACTCCGCGAGCTTGCCTGACAACTAATGACAGCTGGAGTTGAGAACGCAGCGCCTTCTGACTCAGATCCACAGTCATGGCAGCAGCCAACAGCCATGAGGCCGCCTATGTACCAGTCTTCACCCACATGTCTCGGCAATTCTTTGCGGGACTCAAGTCGTTACCCCCCACCCCCCCAACGCGCACATACTTTCCAAGGCAAGAATCAGGTTCAGAGAGGGAGAGCCAGGAGCCTCGAGACACAATGCGATCTGGCTCATGGAGGCAGCATTCGAACCCAAGACCTGGGAACAT